GTGGTTATTTCAACTATATTTTTCTATCAGTGTGCCTTTCCACAAAATCACGGGATTCTTGGGTCGGAGTTCCTTGAGGCCCGGAATCAGACTTTCAGCGAAGCGATATTAGATGTTACACGGGCGCGAGCACGTTCGCAATTTCCTGGCCGAGATCAGAATTATCGAGAGAGGGAGGGTGATGAGGAGCAGAGGAAGGAGAAGGAGAGGAGGGAGACGATATTAGGCGAGGGGAACGCGATACCCGGTGCTCCAGCCAGGGCTAACCGATTTTCTTCGTGGCGTGTTTCACGGACCGTAACGGGGATACATTTTTCAAACGAGACGAATCATCTACGAGCGAGGAGGGACTCGCATCACGAACTGTTCCAGCGGTGGATCGAGCGAGGGTGTGTCTAATGGTTCCAGGCCCAGATCCCGGGAACACGATAGCTAACACAGCCCTGTACATTCACGGAGGTCGGTCGGAGAGACAGTCAGTAGACAGGCTACATCTGCGTCTACGGGAATCGCGATGCCATATACGTATGTTATCTTCCCGTGATGGCACGGGCGCCCGGATATGCACGATGCATGCGAAGACGTGTAACTGCATCAGCAAATGGTCAAAGCTTCGTACGTTGGTCCAGTATAATAGGATCGCGTATGTCATTGCAGCATTGTTACGGGATCAGGTTCGTGAGCGAGTTGCAGGCGAGTTAGACCCTGATTCGAGGATCTGCCGTTAATTATTTTATACTCCATTTCACGTAACACCGCATAAGGCAACGCGTTACAGTCCAATTGTTTAATACGTACGGTGAGTTTTATAAACATTACGAGCGCGATAACAATCGAAATCTCGTGCCTCAATGAAAATTGACTCCTTGATTCGAAGGAAATAGTTAATAGTTTCTAAAAATAAAAAGGCAAATAGCAAATTGTCGCCAGCTTTCGTTGTGTTCGGTTGTTCGAAAAAGATTGGGGGTAAACGTCTACTTGACGAAAGTATCTCGATTTTGCGGAACGGCATAACCGAGAGGAGAGTGTATCACTCACCTGAAATCCGGCTAGCCTCAGGAAGACGATCGCAGGACAGGCCGGTGGCGGTGCGGCTCGCAGGAGCTCGGCGCCGGCGTCATCGCGACGTCCCAATCTCGACAAAGGACCCTCGTGCACCGCTAAATGCAAGCGCGCGTTGCATAAACTCAACTCGCGCACGCTTGTGTATCTCAGCAGCTCGGAGAACACTGCCAGACTGTCCGATTCCTGTGGAAAAAAAAAAACGAATCAGCACCTCCCAGGACGATTGTAAACGTGTTACAGAGAGATAAACGTATTATAGAGAGAAAATATTAAAAAATTAATAATCCAATCGGCATAAGATCAATGGATCGGTGTATATCTTTTGCTTTAAGAAAGCCACGTGGTGAACACGAATAGAAAATCCTCTTTCTGCTGCTAAATAAATGCGGGGTTGTGATGCAGCCAAGTCGACGGCGCCTGAGACGTCGGTTGCAGCCCCGGCGCTCTCCTAACCGCCGTCCCAATATTCGACGATGTTGCATTATGCTTAAAAGCGCAAAGTGGGTAAACGCCTCCGCTAAATCGCGCGTAAACGATGCGGACCCGTGAAAATCTCGCGGAACGCGCCCGGGATCTCCCGTAAGCGCCGCAGCATCCGCGCTTCAGGTTCGCCGGATCTCCGGCTAATCCCATCCCATTCGACACGGAGCGCCGTGTAGAGCCGGTCTCGCTCTACGCCCCGAGACTACCATCTCGCCCGACCTAATCCGCCACGAGAATGTCGTTAAGTCGGATGGAGAGGCGTCTTAGCGCGCTCGCGCCTCGTCGTCGCGACGATCTCGCAGACTGCACGTCGGCGATATTACGTTATTCCGGCAATAAGACGCGGGAGGAAGAGGAACCGGCGCGAGACGTGGATTATACCGGGCGCGCCCGTCAATCGCCGGGGGAACGCGGTAACACGGGGTTAACAAGGTGCGACTGATCCGTCGAAGTCATCTCTCGCGCGTTAATTGAGGATCCTCTCGAGGAGCCTCACGAGCTCGCCAAATTTCCCGAGCAAGATTTCCCGCCGAGTCTTCTTCCCCTTTGTATAAACGCGTCTTCTTCTTCTTTTTTTTTCTTTCAAGGCGCCTTGAACATATCGTTGAATTTGATTTCCACTCGATATCCACCGCGAGAAATTAAATAAAAGATGCAGAGGTCGGAGGAGCGTTCGATCTTGGGGGATGGTCGAGAACGGGGGGGTACGAGCGATACCGTTTCATTATGCAGAGAACGTCGTGGCGCGCACAAGGAGCGACGGAGGATGCGATCCTCACGGGAGCATCGCGAAGAGAGCGGGTTCTCCATGGAAAACTGTGTAAGCGGAAGCTTCCTCTTCGCTTAGTTTACGAGCCGTACGTTAGACGTGCGTTCATTAATAAGTTATCCTTACTTTCGAACTTCATGCGAGATTTATGCGAATCTTGAGCGGCATAAATCAATCTCAACTGAAGACGATGACGATGAATTGTTGCCACCCTGAGAAAGGATTTCTGTTACCGAGACAAAAACTATTCTTGGCGCGTTTATATTTCTCGCAAATAGACAATATCAAAATAAAATCAATAATTCTTATTCTCCTCTATCGAATTAAAAAAGATTGACTTACTATATTGAGACAAGAGTAACTTATTGTATAAATGCAAGTTTATATATTCTTTCGTTTAGAATAAATTCTCTCCATCTTACAACGCACGAAGTCGGCACCGCGATATTCGATAAAAGACGACACATACTATCATTTTATTCTAGATTTTAGAATTTATCATTTAAGATTTAAATATTCCTTTCTCTATAATAAATATGATCGGCGCTATATCGATCCTATTTTATGATACATTCAAGTGTAATAGCATTGGACCCGGAAATGTTTTCTTGTACTTTCCGATTATTCTGTCATCGTGTCATAATGATATTGTATAAAGAATATTTATATATGCACGCGTATATGTAAATTGGCAACGCATGTTAAGAAAATATTTTTCTGGAATTAAACGGAGCCTTGCGTCGTTTCGAGATTGTTCTGTCGTATAAGCTACATTCCAAGTGTTTGTATTAATTCTTTAATTACCATAGGACCGTATACAATCTTGGAAAACAAAATTAACGCTACGTGGGTTTTGTATACAAAATTATTTACATGCCTCGCGAGAAACATATACTCAAGAATGTTGGGCATTTCAAGTCTTTTAAATACTAGCGTTCCTCGTGAAATTCTCTTAGCGACGATTTTCTTTAAAAAATTCGCACGCCTTTTTATTCGCCTCTTAATTCTGTTGGGGAAGACTGAAAAGTGCGTTGAAAAGTTAAATAAATATTGCTTACATGTATCACATTAAACATATGTGTGACATCGATTGACAAACCGATCATACCATGTTTCATCGGATATACAATTTAATCGAATATATCCGTTTGTTATTATGTAATTGGATTATTTTTCTCAGTGCATCTTTCTGACAACTTCATAAGGCGTCTCAGAACTGTTCAAGACGTTTTTAATACGACATAATGTTCTCCGGGCTGTTTTAATATAAAAATAACATTAGTGTCGCTTTTCTATTTGATTTTCAAGTACGGTCGCGCGTGACGATTATTCCGTGTTCCGCTGGGCAAACAGAATCGAGGGTGGATTCCATTCTCGGAAGGATGTCCTCGACAGTCCATTTATCTGGCTTGACCCAACTGGCGTATCCCGGACGAGAACGGGGGAAAAAAGAGGTACCGAAACTAAACGACTCTCGAGATGTTTACCGCGCTTTGACAGATTATTGCATTATATTGCATGCGCAGCGCGCACGCCGACAGCGACGTATCTACGGTGTATTTCGCGATATTTCTATAATTGCATAATTTATAAAAGACAACTCTCTATTCGTTACGATTACTACAAAGGCAAGGGAATACGGTACGACGCCCGTAAGACTCCGCTCGAAACGTTCGACTCAGAATTCAGGGCACATCGTCGAAACTTCGGCTGTCTCGAGAGCTACGAAATACCTTGTATATATTTTTATAGTTTGTCCACCGTAGTTTCGATCATGCGATACGCGCGGAACTCTTGAATTTCCGCGCCCAAGAGTACGCGTACGTCTCCCAAGACGGTATTATACTTTATAACATATCGCGTCCTCCCCGCCCAATAAAGTTTCTAAACCGGATAAGAGATCTATAACAACACTTTGGGCGACTGATTCTCGTTATCGGTGACCCAGTTAGATTATCTCCCCGCACTTTTCTCCTCTGTCTACCGAAAAACTGTATCATATTGAGACTCAAGATAGAGTATCGAGATACTTACTTCATTTCCGATCGGACCCCCTCGGTTTTAAATAAATATTTAGATAGCAATGCTCAAATGTGTGGTCAACACAGTTTTAAATTCAATATATTGAGATATGTCCGCAACATTAATTTGTATCACGGAAAAAAAAAACGTAGCTGCCGCAGCTACAAACTGCACGTGGCAATTAAATTTCAGTTGTAAAATACGGACAGCTAATATTTAGTTGCGATAACATTTTGCTACTGTGGCTGTTGTATTATCCCTGATCACACAATCTTGCTTTAAGTAAGCTGTAAGCCTTGAGCCGTAAGAAATTAACCGATCACAGGCATTTATTCCCCTCACTCACACCTGTGATTGGTTAATTCCTTGCGGCTTAAGGCTTACAGCTTACTTAAAGCAAGATTGTGGACCAGGGGTTAGATGCGACGGCAAACAGTTTAGAAATTTATAGTTAATGCAACATGTCTAGCAAATCGCGATCGGCTACGGTAGCGAAAATGTTTTTTTTCCGCGTGCTCCTATTTCAGTCGTATCGTTTAAAATAATCGGGAAGATTTGTACGCTTTCAAAAAATGTTCTTTAAATATACGATGTAGTATTGACGAGTGCGTGAAATAAGAGCCGAAGTGCGGCGTCCTTTGAGATTTCACTTAATGCGTGGGAAATTCGATGCAAAGCCGGGATTTATTGTAGCTAACCGTGATATTTACGAGCGACGATATTTATCGCTTCCTGACAAGCGCTCGTTGACGAGCGTCGCTTCCTGGGGATCGCGTTCTCCAGGCTCGGCTCACGGGAGAGAGATCCCAGCACGGTTTCATCAGCGCGGAATTCGCGCGCGGCTGGAAGAATGGCATGAATAAAAATCGCGCTGAATTCGGCACCGCCGCCGCCGCCGTCGTCGTCGTCGTCGAGATCAAAACGCGGATGGAGACACGCGCGCACATCTACGTGCCTCGAATCTGTTTTTTTTTTTTAGAACATTCGGAACCCGTGAACCGTTAGCTGCACCGCCGACAATTCATGTTTGACGTTATTTCGCGCCACGAACGCTACGAACCCGCGCGTTTCGTCAGCGAGTGAGTTTTATTCGCCGTTGTAAACGTACCTGATTGGAATTCAGCCGGTATTAAAAGCAGAAAGGCATTAAATAATATTATCGGGATTAATAACCGCATCAAAATATAATATCGGATAGCATTAGCGAGCTTGCATATGCGTAAACTCACAATCCTCAATTCCCAACTCTAAACTTCCATTTTCCTCCTAGCTATTATGTTTCAACTTTCGGCTATTAGCTATCAACCGCGAGCTCTCGGCTCTCGAATCTCGAACTGGGGGTACAAATAGCGTTTATTTATGGGCAATGTAAAGCCCGTAAAATTAAAACGTGTGCCTTCCAGCAGAATAATCGACTTACATCAACATTTATATGTATTACCTTTTGATTATTATTAACGGATTTGTATATTTTATCCATTTTGTTAGGGAAAATATACTAATGGCGTCCAATGGCGTAATCCGAACATGTCCAGATGAATGATGAATAAAACGTACGTGCGTCACAATAAATTTGTTGTCTCATTTGATTGCGTAAAAATATACACGGAAGAAGGATATCGTGTCATGGATGAAATAACTCGCACTGCACGGGGAATATTTTATACATCATTTTTCAAAGGAGACTTTTTGTCATATAACTCGTTTGCTTTTGACATATGTCGCGCTGCAACATTTCGAAATATTTACTTTGTTCTCATATAATCTAATTAATTTTGTTTACAGATGCTCGCGATATTTGCCTTTAAAGCAAAGTACAAAAGCGTTCGCCAAGAACATTTAAAAACGCTTGACTCCAAAGACAATTTCTTTAAAAAGATATGGCACAAAGATAATTGTATCTCACTTA